TATTTACAGTGATGTTATGTTATTTTACCTTTGACATGTAAAATCACAGTCTACTTATGTAAATTTAATGATATTCTAGAAAGACAGTACAAAAATGTAAAAATTACAGTAAGATACTTTGACATTACTATTTTTTGGAACAGTGTATGCTTTTATTTTTAAACATACTTAAGTTTAAACCTGTCACTAATTAACTATTTAAAGTTACCAATATAGCTACAAAAAAGTTGGTAAAAATCTTCACCAGCTAATGAGCTTCATGTTCAGCTGACAGACACGAGAGTGGCACTGACCGACGTCTGAAAGTCGAACGCGTGCCCTAAAAGACGATGGTGTACGTGCTTACCTGGGCCACAGATGTTTGGGGGTTCAACATGAGGTTCTGAAATGTTCTGTGAAGGACCCATCGTAGCTGGTGAAAGAACGAGCTGTTGTAGGTGATGGTGCGGGACTTTGGGAGGGACCCACAGCGCTTATCTTTAACAATGCGTTCCAGTTCGGCTCGTGTGTTGCTGGAGTAACTGCTGTTCCTGTACTCATCCACCAGGCGCTCCTCGATGCTCTGCCTGGAGCTACTGAGCTCCTCGAAGTCCAAATCTGTTCACAAATACAAAAAAAACCACTCAGTTATATTTTATTTTTATAGCACCAATTCACTCGCTTTATATACAGATTTGACTCTAGAATAGAGTTAATAGTCGACTATGTACACCCCACGATTCAACAGCTTGTAGAACCACCTATAGCATCCACGACTTCAGCTGTTTTCTACATGACTTTATCAAACTCTGTCATGGATGTGAAGGAATCCCTGATTTTTTTCTGCTTACGTTTTCACGTGAAATTTTTTCACTTGCAGAAAATGTTAACAAAAATTAAGGCGTTATGAGGTCCAGTAAAAACCATCTGTCTTACTGTTTTACTCCGTCAACTCTAATTTGTGCGTTTGACATGTTGTTCCAATCACTATAAATGTCAAATTTAAAACACTTTAAAAAACCTGTTAATAAAAAGTTCCAGGTAAAAATACTGTATCTTCTTTATTGTATCGTACCTTTTTGTGGATGTTGCAAAATCAAAGAAAAATGCAAAGAAATGAGCACATTTGCACAGGATATGTTTGTTTGTTGTTATTCTATTAAACCAGGAGATGTGATACAAGCTTGACTGAATATTCATGGATGGTTAATTATGCCGCTACCTTCAGAGCCGTGCACTTTGGTCATTGCTGTGGCGGTGAAGTCTCCGTTAATCACATCCAAAAAGAAGTCAGCTGGGTTGTTGTGGGCCTCGCAGGCATAGCCTTGAACACAAATCACAATGTTGCAGCTCAATATCAAAGCAAATCCTACACATATAGTGACCCTGCAGCTTTTTTAGAAGCTGCACATCCATCTACATTTATTTACTTCATAAATTAAAGAAAACTGTAAAGAAGTGTCTTGTGATGTTACTGTTTAGTCAGTGTAATCACCGATGTTGGCAAAGTAGTCCAAAGCGTTTGGTGCTGGTCCGTGGTACACCATTTTACCACCGACCAACAGTGTGAGAGTGTCAAACAGTCTGTAGATGGAGTAGCGAGGTTGGTGGATGGACATAATTATGGTTCTACCATGACTGGCCATTCTGAAAAGACACATAACACAGTAAAAATCACAATAAATTGATGTAAATAAAGTAGAAGCAAACAGCAGCAATTTTCCTGCTTTAATTCTCCTATGTAAAATGATAAGCTTCTGTTTAAAGTTAACCAAACTCCAAAATTTAGCTTGAAACACTTTTAAAAATCCTTTAAAACCCAGAAGCTCAAGATTTTACTTTATTTTAAAGAAATCTGAGAAATTAAAGATAGTCCGGGTTTTCTCACCTTTTCAGCAGGAGCAGGACAGAGTTAGCAGTGCTTGCGTCTAGCCCGGTGGTCGGTTCATCCAGAAATAGGACAGCAGGATCGATGATCAGCTCCATGCCGATGTTTGTCCTCTTTCTCTCTCCTCCCGAGATTCCTCGGGTCATCTGCGTGCCCACCTGAGGAACAAAAAAAACACCAACAAAACACAACGGCAATCGCTGAAAACGCGCTTCATCTGCCGGGGCAGGCTGCTTGTTAGAGGACAGGTGAGTGACAGGCTGTGATTATCTGCAGCACCTTGGAGTCAGCCACTTCTGTGAGACCCAGTTCTTTAATGAGGTGATTGACTCGAGCCTCCTTCTCGACCTGAGGCACAGAGACGTGCAGTCGCAGAGCCGCAGAAAAACGCAGATTCTCCCTCACGGTCAGGGTGCCCATGACCACATCTTCCTAGCAGGGAGACGAAAGCTTGATCAAAGGTCACAAACTGAGAAGCTATTTTGTAGTTATCATTTCCACAAATCCTTAAGGGAAACAACCAGAAACAAGACGGAGTTCAGAACACTGCCTCACTGCAAGAAGGAGTGAACCTCAGCAGGGTTTGCAGGTTTTTCTGGGAGGTCTAAGCCTGCCTGGCTGTCTTCTCTAAGGACACTTGCACAAAATATTTCTCATTTCAAGAGTTTCTTCTTAAAAGAGGTCTAACACAAACAATCTCAGCACTATGTTTAATGTTTAAGGGCCAACCTCTGTGTGTTAAGTTGGTTTTACACCCTACAACATTTGCTTTGCTCTCAGGCGCAGAGTCTAATAGAAAGTAAAAGCTCTCAGCTTTTTCTGCATGAAAGCTTAAAGAAACCAGTCAAGGCCGGCCAATACGTCACTGAAAAAGACCCCAAAACAAAAAATAAATAGTGAAAAACCAGTTTACACGTTGCTTAACTTAACACCTAAAGAGAGCTGCATTAAGTACGCAGAAAATAAACCAGAGAATGACTCCGACTTACAGTGCTTAACAAGTTTATTAGACCAAAACACAATTTAAGTTTTATCCCACAGCTGTTCTAAATTAACAGAACTGCTAATTACCTAAATCAATTCTTATGTTTCTGTAATGATTAATCCACCAGCATCCATACGCTGTTTAATTGAAAGGATTTATTTTAATGTTAACATATATTTATCTGTCCTATCCACAATTTTTCCAATTTAACATTTTACAAAAAAGCTGATTTTTTTTTAAATTTAGAATTACAGTTTTTTTTTACTTGTGCTCCTAAACAGAAAAAATATTTTTTTTGCGATTGACGCTCAATTAATTCCTGACTTCTCAGAGACGCCTAGAGTGCCAGCTCAAATTTGGGTATAAAAATGTAAATTCAGCTGTTATTTACCTGATAAATAGTAACATAATTTGTAGTTTTGAACAAATTTTTGATAGATTTCTAAAATATTTGTGCTTTCTTGTTTTTGTGGCAGGTGGTATCAAGCATTTGTTAAGCACTGTACATTTATCAAATAAATATATTTAAAAACATAATATCACTATATCCATATCAGTGCATCTGAGTGGATATAAAAGGGTTAATATGGGTTATTTAAAGAAATACAAATTTACCTGGACGACATAGCCAGAGAGGCACTTAAAGTTTGGAGGCTGTGGGGCTCCATCAATGAGAACTTCCCCCGAGAGACCTGCGGGATCCTTCCTCGCAGCCAGAATATCCAAGAATCTCAAAGACAAAGAGCAAAGAAAAATTCTAAAGATATCCAAAACAAAAATTAAGGTAATTATTTCAAGATTATATACAATTAGGTCCATAAGTATTCAGACAATGTCATTTGAATTCAACGGGCCTAAAAATATCACATTAACTGTTTAGGAATTGCAGGCCTTGTTATGCATAAATACCCCATTTTTAAAGGTTCAAAAATAATCAACAAGACGTTTTGTGGCTAGGTGAGGCTCTTTCCCTCATAATTTCAACTGACAAATGAAGCAGATGTAATATCTGAAGTCAGCTCAAAGTATTATGAGCTGACAGAAGGTTTAATAAACAGTCCAGTTTAACCCTCTCAAGGCAGGCGTTGCAGATTTGCAACAGTTAAAAACTAACAACCTGATTACCCCACACACATATCTTATGAGTTTTTTTTACTCAGAAGTACCACTGCAGGTATTATTTTGTGCATTAGCAACAAAAACGTAATTTGAGCCTGAGAGGGTTAAAAAAAAATCATGGTTCAAGCTTTACAGGGTTAAGAGCGGCCAAATGAAACACTTGGTTGGTTCCTAAAAACAATGAATCCACTGCCCAGTATTACGACGACTAAAGTGCTGAATTAGTTCTATGGGTCACCGCATCTAACCAAGTGAAGAGCACTATGATCAAGAGACGCCTTCATGAATACAGAGCGTTTACTACAAGGTGCAAACCTCTGGTTACACATCTACATGAGCTCGCACAGTTCAGGAAAAAAACCTTGGAAAAATGAAACCAAGATGAACGCGTACCAGTATGAACAGAAGAGAAGACAATGGTGAAGGAGAGAAAATGCTCATGATCCAAAGCACAACCCACCCTCTGTCAAACATGTCAGATGGCTGTTCACAGCAAATGCAATACTTACTTGTACTGCTTGTATTACTGTTTGTTTAATCCCATATTGATTAATTGATTTATACTGTAATAAGAGAGTAATACAATGCTTTATAGACCTAACTGTATTTTTGTAAACTGAAGTGGTACTCACGAAGATTTTCCACTTCCAGTAGGTCCAAGTATAGCATTCAGACCAGGTCTCATAATCCCACTGCGAGACAGTGACACAGGCAAAAAGTGAGTGTAATGATTTAATAATGAAAAAAGAAACTCAAATACTGGGACACATATTTGCTTATGTTTCCAATTATAAATGTTTTTCCTTAGATTTTTATGCCACTGTATTGGTTTTATGCCACAGACACAAAGCATGTGAATCAAAGTAGTTAATATGGTCCTTAGACACATGCTGAAATGCAGCACTTTTATTAAATGAATCATCCCTCCTAATCCCATTTAAAGTAATATTCATGAATGGATTTTACAGCAAATACAGATATCATATCATTTTTAAAAAAAAAAAAATGTAACAATTTAAAGAACTTCAGAGACTTCAGAAAGCACGGAGTGAGTCAGTGATTTAAAACAGAGTTGAAGACTGAATTAAGGTCTGGCGGTGGATCACGTGACGCTGTTTAATTCGTTTCTCTGGCAGACTGCTCTTTAGTGCATTTGAGAGATTATATGCAAGAAACCATGCTTACTATCATATAATTAACACTGTGGCAGGAAAAAGGTTCCGCCTAAAAAAAACTTGTGTGAAATGATTCATTCTTCCATGGGAAACGTCAGCTGTATTTAATACCATCAGAAAGGAACTGCAAGGGTCTATTCACTATTGTCCCACTTTGTACTGGACTGACATGAAAAACAAAAGAAAAAAAGCAAGACGACACCCCCCAAAATTATAAGAAATCTAAAACAATCAGTGCAATAAAATTCAAAAGGATTCATTTGGCATTTTTTCTGAAATTCAACAAAGTAAAAATCATAAGATTTCTACTGTTTAATGGGGTTCTGTGCATGTTCAGCTAGCTTAAGCAGAGGGGAAATAATTTTTTTTAAAAAACAGACTATTAAATGTTTTACAGGTTTTCTGCTGGACTTATCAAGTGAGCAAATCATAGCTCTGCAGGTTAATATCTGTAAATTCTGTAAATTCATGTGCAAGTAGTGTGTGAGTGATGAGAAAACGGAGGAAAGCGAGTGAGAAGGTGACAGAGCGGAGAAAGACAAAGAGACTGACTTGAGGTCCACCAGTATTTCCTTGGAGAGGATCTTTCTTTTGCAGAGGAAGCCGCTCTGCTGCTGCACTTTGTACTGGATGTTGTGGAAGCTCACGGTGGAACCGCATCGCTGTTTCTTCCCGTCCACGCCCGTGCCGACCTTTGACACGGCCATCCCGTTAGTACCGATGTCTTCTATCATTGCAATGTTGATGTGACTGGTTTTCTCCATCATCCTCTGCTGCAACCAAAAACACAGAATTTTATACATGAAAGAGAAACGCTGTTACTTTACTAAAGGCACAGACTGATCGGTCTGGTGATAAGGATCGCTTTGAAGTGGTGTTAAGGTTTCCACCTTTTGAATACTTGCTGCATGCAAATCACTTTTTGAAGCAATAATCCTAAAGTCAGCATAGTTATCAGCTGTTTTAACCATCCTGAGAGTCTCATTTAAATAATAAACACTTGCCAAAGTTGTAAACAACAAGATAGTAACTAAATATTCATTGCCAAAGGAGGCATTAGCTCTAAATTTTATAAAGCAAAAAAAGATCAACACGTGGACACACTTCTAATCTACTCTAATCTAATTTAATTTTGAAGTTGTACGTTTAAATGCAGACTAAGGCTGGTATTCTATGGCTTCGAAGGGATTAACTGATAAGGATAAATAAATACAACAAATAAAAATCCTGGAATTTAAGGAACAGTGGATTTTTCACTGCATCACTCGGGGATGACATGCTGGACAATATTGTAAGCTTAATATTTCTAAACTCATTCATGAGGGTGCTCGACTCAAAGGACATGTCCACTATTTATTTTAATTTGTATTAATTTAGAGGACTAAAGATGTACTTAAACGTATTGATGTGCTTTATTATTATTATTATTATTATTATTATTATTATTGGGAACAAAGTACAGTTTTTAAATCCACACGTTGTTTCTGTGGCACGCGCTGCTCTTTATAACAGTGTTTTGTGTTTGAGCTCACGTGTTAAAGGAAGAAAAAAAAACACAGCAGGTATATGAGAGGACAAGAATATTATAGCTATGTAAAACACGTGACCTCGGTGATTTACACTCCATGGGTTAAACCTGCCTGAGATAAAATTAAGGGACTATTTCTTCTTGCGCCAATGCTAAAGCAAAGCAGCAGCAACTCGTGATTTCTTGTAGACGTTAATAAATAAAATATGATTGAGGAGCTGCTGAAATCAACAGAGAGAGGAGAGAAAATCTTTGTAGTTGTGACTTACCGGGCGGCGAGGATGTGAGAGGGCTGCTGCTGCAGACTGATGGCCAGCGGCAGCTCACCCACAAGGGTCAACCCCACTCAGGCTGGGGGAGGGAGGTGAGGCCCATCACATTTTTCACAGCTGCTCCTTTTTCTTTTCTTTTTTTTTTTTCGTTTTATTGTATTATTCATGCAAAAGTTAGCCAGATAACGTCACTTTAAATCAAAGCCCTTTTTAAAATTATGCCACTTATAATACATCAGCTTATCCCCCTTTTCCACCAGAGTTACTGGTTTCTTCCAGGAGTTGCAATATAATGAAATCTGCATCTGGCAATCTGTTGTTTAGCTACCCACTACTGTAGCTAGTCTCCTAGCCTCCTCACATGAGTGCTGAGGGTCAGAACTTAATAGATTGTACCTGAAGTAGTTAGTAGAGCATCTATCCCCTTTTAAAATGTGTAGAAATGCAGTTTAATAGTTCCGGACACTTAGTTCCAGGGGTGACTGACAGATACACAGCTTACAGATTTTTAGGGTGTGGGAATTTAAATATTAATGTATAATTGCATTGAAGTTTGCATACCTGGCTCATTTTACACAAACTTTTATCGTCAGTCAAATTAATTAAATACGTGTGGCTAATTTTAGTTCGTCACAAGAGAGTATATCTACCTGTGGCATCCTGGTGAAGTAGATGTACTGCAGTAACTTTGTGTTTGTGATACTAAAGCCCAGAGTGTGACTGTGAATGCTGGATTTCGATGCCTGTGTGTAAAAGAAAATTTATATCTGTGTCTTCATGCAACTCTTGACTAAACAGGATCAGGTTTCACAGGAGAGCATAATGGATTTATTGCACAACATATAGTCTCTGTTAGGTTGCATTAGATTGCAATGGTGTGATGCTGCGTCCGGAGTTCGAAAGAGTCTGCATGTGTGCATTAGTGTGCCTATCAATTTTCAACATAAGTGCTTTAGGAAAACGGCCTTATGTAACTTCTTTGGTGTCACGGAGTAACCCTACTCTGTGGAAGCTTCCACCTAAAGACGTCTACTTCATTCATGTACAGAAGGCAGAGATGGAAAATGACTCGGGAACCCACGACAAGGAAAGATGTGAAACAATGGCTGACACCTGCAATCCCACTCAGTGCTTCTTGCCGTGGATTCTGTGGTGGATCCATTGGATCAGTGTCAGAACAAACATTAACTTTGAGTTCTGTCTCCCCTTGGTGGCCTTGGGAGAAATCTCACAGTGGCTCAGAATATTCTCTGAGTATCTCCATGCTGTGGTCATGTATGCTTGTGGCACATGGCACTTTTCACGTAGATCTGAGATGGCTGCTTTCTGACTTACTTTTAAAGTCTTAAACAATATGTCATTCATCTATTTAGTCAAGCGCTCAACCTATTTAACTCCAAAACATGTAGCCAGATGCTCTCAGTGCAACCGAAGTCTCGATTCCGTCTCAGGTGCAGACCCTAGACTAATGCAATAACCTGCCACTTGATATTTGTACTGTCTTTTATGCAGTCTTTTAAATCCAGCCTTTCAAACCTAGGCTTTTAATTGAAGTTCAAAGTCAAGTTCAAGTCCCATCAGGGTTTTTATGCTGTGTTCCCCTTTATTATCTTGTTTTATTCAAATATATATTTGTTTGATTTTGTTTTATTGATCATGTGGTTTTAAGCCAACCCGTAAAGCACTTTAAAAAGCAACAAGGCTGACCAAAGTGCTGTAGAAATCAAACGGACATTGACCACAACTAAATGAATGTCTAGTTTTGTCTAGTTCTCCATTTACATTTGGAAATTTCTTGAATT